CTCAGCACCACATAAGCAAAAAGAAAAAAGCCGGAGGTGGCGCTGTGGCTCAAGTGGAAGAGCGCTAGCCTTGAGCTGAAGAGCTGAGGGACAGCGCCCAGGCCCAGAGTTCAGGCCCCACAACTGGCCAAAAAAAAGAATACTTGAAGCCAGGCCTGCCCTAACTAGTTGAAGGCTGAGATTAGGATTATAGTTTTTAAAGCAGATACACAAGATTCCCTTCTTAACTAATAGCTTGTATGCTGCTGTCATGCTACCTGGAAGGCAGTTCCAGGTGATCCTGGACAGAAAAGCCCTAGGCCTCCAGTTGAAGAAGTTCGTAATGGTGGCATGTACCCGCCATTCCTAGTAGCTACAATAGAGACATCTTAAAATAGCCAGATCACAGTTGCAGCACATGTGGGGGATAGGGTAGGGACAAGGCCCTAGCTCAGAAACATTGTATCCTGGAGCTCATGGTTTATTCTGGAATCCTAGTTACTCAAGAGGCTGAGATCTGAGTACTGCTGGTTTAAAGTGGTAAACATGTGAGCTTACAAAAACAGTAAGCCAAAAGTGGCGCTGTGGCTCAAGTAGTAGAGCGCTAGCCTCCGGCTGAACAGCTGAGGGATAGCGCCCAGACTCAGAGTTCAAGCCCCATGACCTACAAAAATAAATAATAAATCCTTTTAAGCCGGGCGCTGGTGGCTCACGCCTGTAATCCTAGCTACTCGGGAGGCTGAGATCTGAGGATCTCAGTTCAAAGCCAGCCCGAGCAGGAAACTCCGAGAGACTCTTCTCTTTAATAAACCACTAGAAAACCGGAAGTGGCATTGTGGCTCAAGCAGTAGAGCATTGGCCTTGAGCTGAAGAGTGCGGGGACAATGCCCAAGCCCAGAGTTCAAGCCCCATGTCTGACAAAAAATAAATAAATAAATAAATAAATCGTTTTAAGAATCATAAAATTACTTCCCTCAAGGGCTACATTATGATTGCTACAGGCCTATGGTAGACTGCCATAAATAAGTCATAGTCTTTTCCTCCTCCGTTCCTCCTAGGGATTAAACTCAGGTTCACCTGCATGAATCTACATGTAGGTGAACTTGAGCTTGTTGGTTGGTTGGTTTTGGTCCGTTGTGCAGTATGAATTCAGTGCATGGGCATTGTCCCTGAGCTCTTGACCAAGGATAGCACTCTACCACTTTGAACCACTGTACCAGTGGTTCACAGTACTGTGGTCCAGTAGTGTTTCTTAGAGATAAAAGTGTGGTGGAGGGCTGGGAAGTTAGCTCAGTGGTAGAGAGCTTGCCTTGCATGCATGAGGCTCTGGGTTCGATTCCGCAGCACCACATAAGCAAAAAGAAAAAAGCCAGAAGTGGGGCTGTGGCTCAAGTGGTAGAGCACAATCCTTGAGCTCAAGAGCTGAGGGACATTGCCCAGGCCCAGAGTTCAGGCCCCACGACCGACCAAAAAAAAAGAAGTTAGTGAAGAATGACTAGTGAAATAAAATCCCGAGTAAAACCTCTGCTTTCAAAGAAGAAAAGTTACCTGCAATGTTTCCTATTTCCTCCTTAACAAAAACTTAATGTTTTTTGTTTCCTTTTTGCTGTCTTGTAGGTGACAAAAGGTGACAGCAAAAATGCTAAAAAGAAGAATAATAAGAAAACCAGCAAAAATAAAAGCAGCCTGAGTAGGGGCAACAAAAAGAAGCCTGGTATGCCCAATGTGTCTAATGACCTGTCTCAGAAACTGTATGCCACCATGGAGAAGCATAAAGAGGTAAGAGGCAGCTGCCAAGACAGAAGTTAGCAGGACTGGCTTCTGCACAACCACCCACCCCACCTCTGGCAGAATACTAGCCATCCAGTGGGGAGAAATCAGTTAAAGTAGTTGATAATATGGTACTTAGGGTAGGTTGTGATTCTGTGTTTCAATGTAGATAGTGTTAGGGTGTTTCTCATTTAAAAATGCGAAAAGGATGCTAGTGGTAGAATGCTTGCCTAGCATGCATATGAAGCCCTGGGTTCAATTCCTCAGTACCACATACGCAGAAAAAGCCAGAAGTGGTGCTGTAGCTCAAGTGGTAGAGTGCTAGCCTTGAGCAAAAGAAGCCCAGGGACAGCGCCCAGGCCCAGAATTCAAGCTTTTCAAGTTTTTCAGAAAGTAAGTTACAAAATAGGGGAAAATGAAGAAAAGAGCTTTCATATATCTGGGTGTCAGTGGTTCACTCCTGCAATCCTAGCTACTCAGGAGGTTGACATCTGAGGATTGTGGTTTGAAACCAGGCCAGGCAGGAAGGTCCATAATAAACCACCAGAAAACCAGAAGTGGAGCTGTGGCTGGAACATTAGAGTCTCTAGATTATGTCCAGGTCTTGAGACCATGCCTCACAATCCACCAAAAAAAAAAAGTTTTCACATAAAATGAACCAAGCCAGGCACCGGTGGCTCATGCCTGTAATCCTAGCTACTCAGGGGGCTGAGATCTGAGGATCGCGGTTCAAAGCCAGCCCGGGCAGGAAAGACCTGAGACTCCTATCTCCAATAAACCACTAGAAAATCTGAAGTGGCGCTGTAGCTCAAGTGGTAGAGCGCTCGCCTTGAGCTGAAGAGCTGAGGGACAGTGCCCAGGCCCAGAGTTCAAGCCCCATGACTGACAAAAACAAACAATAAAATGAACCAAAAAAAAATTTAAGACAAAAAGAATAAGGAACAAGGGGTTGGGAAGTTGGCTCTGTAGTAGAGCACTTGCCTTGCATGCCTGAGGCCCTCGGTTCGATTCCTCAGTAACACATAAAGAAAAAAAGCTGGAAGTGGAACTGTGGCTCAAGTGGTAGAGCGCTAGCTTTGAGCTGAAGAGCTGAGGGACAGTGCCCGGGCCCAGAGTTCAGGCCCCACTCTACCACTAAGCCACGTTCCCAACCCCAGTTCCATCATTATGCTGGTTAATTGGAGATAAGAATGTCATGGACTGGGGCTGGGAAGGTGGCTCAGTGGTAGAGCGCTTGCCTTGCATGCCAGAGGCCCTGGGTTCAATTCTTCAGCACCACATAAGCAAAAAGATAAAAGCCGGAAGTGGTGCTGTGGCTCAAGTGGTGTAGTAGAGTGCTAGCCTTGAGCTGAAGAGCTGAGGGACAGCATTCAGGCCCCACGACCGAACCCAAAAAAAAAATAAGGAACAAATACAAAAAGCTTTTACATACGGACGTTTCCGTATGACATAGAATTCAATTAAAAATGAATTTTTGGACTGGAAAGGTGGCTCAGTGGTAGAGTGCTTGCCTTGCATGCATGAGGCCCTGAGTTCGACTCCTCAGCACCACATAAGCAAAAAGGAAAAAAGCCGGAAGTGGCGCTGTGGCTCTAATGGTAGAGTGCTAGCCTTGCGCTGAAGAGCTGAGCGACAGCGCCCAGGCCTAGAGTTCAGGCCCCACAACCAACCAAAAAAAAAAAAAGTTATTTTGTTACTTTAAATTGTCCTTGTTGTTGTGAGTATTTGCCATTCCACTATCATAATAAGATAAAAACCAATGAATTTGAAGATAATTTTTTGTTTGTTGATGCTAGTACTGGGACTTGAACCATAGAGGCCTGTCTTTCTGCTAAGGCTAATACTCTACCACTTGAACCACAATTCCACTTTCAGGTTTTTGTGTTCTTGGATTGTTTTTGGTTTTGGTTTTGTATTTTTGGTCGGTTGTAGGGCTTGAACTCTGGGCTGGGCCTATTCGTCACCTCAAGGCGAACACTCTACTGATTGAGCCACAGCACCACTTCTGGTTTTCTGGTGGTTAATTGGAGATAAGAGTCTCCTAGATTTTCCTGCCCAGGCTTGCTTTGAACCACTATCCTCAGATCTCAACCTCCTAAGTAGCCAGGGTTACAGGCATGAGCCACTGTCACCTGGTTCTTTTTGTTTGTTGTAATGGTTAATTGGAGATGATAATCCTGGACTTTCCTGCCAGGCTGGCCTCAAACTGATTCTCAGCCTCTTGAGTAGCTAGCATTACAGGCGAGAACTTTGTTCTCACATACAATCAAGTTCTTATAGGAAATTGCATTTGTATGGAGAGTGAAAAATTGGGGCTTGACTGTAGATATGGGATTTAACATTTCAATGATTGTTACCTAGATTATTTAGGTCCTTGTAGCAGTATTTAATGTCACTTAAAGTATATTATGATCTGTTTGACTTAAACTGTGGACATGTTCCTGGGCTTTGTTCAGTCTTAGGGACTAAATTTGCAGCTGTAAAAGTAGATTATAAGGCTTTGCTATAATAGGGTAACAAAAGTAGCAAATATGCCTTCTCATTTATTCATTGTGTGTAATTATTTACAACACATACATAAGATGCCTTCTTGTTGCCATCTTTTCCAAATGCTTAGAGGACTGATGCCTATTAAGGGTTTCTATAAGTACTAGGGAAGTTGCTTTTCTTTCATCTTTTATTTTAAAACTTGAAACCATTGCATTACATTTGCTATGCAGTCCAAGAAGGAGGATGTACTTTCTAGAGCTATGCTAGTTTTGCAATGAAGATAGTTCAACCTGATAGCACCATTTAATGCCCCAAACAAGGATTATGTATGAATCATGTTGCCTTTCATTTTGAACAGATTTTCAAATCTTGAGTAGGTTACATGAACCTAGGCTGGTAGTAATCTGAAAGACTATATCTTAGATTTGTCTGGATCAGTTCCTTAGATTCAGTTTAAACCATGGATTACATCTTAAAATAGACTGCTTAGGAGGCAGAATGTCTACTGTACATATGCTAGAACTAAGCTGTTCTGTTTTGTTGTCAGGACTAGGGTTTGAACTCTGCCCCTCATTCTTGCTGGGCAAGAGAAGAGCTCTATCACTTAAACTATACAATCAGCCTTTCTTTTCTTTTTTCTTTTTTTGCCAGTCCTGGGCTAGAACTCAGAGCCTGGGGACTGCCTGAGAGCTTTTGCTCAAGGCTAACACTCTACCACATGAGCCACAGCACCAAGTCTGACTTTTTCTGTTTATGTGCTACTGAAGAATGGAAAGGAGAAAAGGGAAATATGAATGCATACTAACCCTGTGTATACTCTTAGTTCTGAGACATAGAGATAGCCTGACTCCTTTTTGTAGCAGTGGTGTTCCAATTCAAGAGTCAGAATAAGCTTATGTGTTTGACAGGTCTTCTTTGTGATTCGCCTCATTGCTGGCCCCGCTGCCAATTCCCTGCCTCCCATTGTTGATCCTGACCCTCTAATCCCCTGTGATCTGATGGATGGTCGAGATGCATTCCTCACCCTGGCAAGAGATAAGCATCTGGAATTCTCTTCATTGAGAAGAGCCCAGTGGTCTACCATGTGCATGCTGGTGGAGCTGCATACGCAGAGCCAGGACCGCTTTGTCTACACCTGCAATGAGTGCAAACACCATGTGGAGACAAGATGGCACTGCACTGTCTGTGAGGTGGGCACTAGGTCTTGGGAAGTGGCGGGGCACTGTACTGGCCGGGTCCCCCTGTCTCAGGGGTGATAAGGATGGCTTGCTGATGAAGCTGGTTTTGTTATATAATGACGCTTTTCTAGTCCACGCAGAGAAACAGTAACCAAAATGGTTTTAATGGCTTAAATCTTAGCTTACCTGAACCTCCTACTTTTATTCCCTCAGGATTATGATTTGTGTATCACCTGCTATAACACTAAAAATCATGACCACAAAATGGAGAAACTAGGCCTTGGCTTAGATGACGAGAGCAACAACCAGCAGGCAGCAGCCACTCAGAGCCCAGGAGACTCTCGCCGCCTGAGCATTCAGCGCTGCATCCAGTCTCTGGTACATGCCTGTCAGTGCCGTAATGCCAACTGCTCCCTGCCGTCCTGCCAGAAGATGAAGCGGGTCGTACAACATACCAAAGGCTGCAAACGGAAAACCAATGGCGGGTGCCCCATCTGTAAGCAGCTCATTGCCCTCTGTTGCTACCATGCCAAGCACTGCCAGGAGAACAAGTGTCCCGTGCCATTCTGCCTCAACATCAAGCAGAAGCTTCGGCAACAGCAGCTGCAGCACCGGCTCCAGCAGGCTCAGATGCTCCGCAGAAGGATGGCCAGCATGCAGAGGACGGGTGTGGCTGGGCAGCAGCAAGGCCTGCCGTCCCCAACCCCTGCCACTCCAACCACACCCACTGGCCAGCAGCCAGCTACCCCACAAACACCCCAGCCCCAGCCCCCAGCTCAGCCCCAGCCCACCCCTCCCAGCAGCATGCCGCCCTACTTGCCTAGGACTCAAGCTGCTGGCCCTGTGTCCCAAGGCAAGGCAGCAGGCCAGGTGACCCCTCCCACCCCCCCTCAGACTGCTCAGCCACCCCTTCCAGGACCACCACCTGCAGCAGTAGAAATGGCGATGCAGATTCAGAGGGCAGCTGAGACGCAGCGCCAGATGGCCCATGTGCAAATTTTTCAACGGCCAATTCAACATCAAATGCCCCAGATGACCCCCATGGCCTCCATGGGCATGAACCCACCTCCCATGGCCAGAGGGCCTAGTGGGCATATGGAACCCGGGATGGGGCCCACTGCAATGCAGCAGCAGCCACCCTGGGTTCAAGGAGGATTGCCTCAGCCCCAGCAACTTCAGTCTGGGATGCCAAGGCCAGCCATGATGTCAGTGGCCCAACATGGTCAGCCCTTAAACATGGCTCCGCAACCAGGACTGGGCCAAGTAGGTGTGAGCCCACTAAAACCCGGCACTGTGTCTCAACAAGCCTTACAAAACCTCTTGCGGACTCTCAGGTCTCCCAGCTCTCCCCTCCAGCAGCAACAGGTGCTTAGTATCCTGCACGCCAACCCCCAGCTGTTGGCTGCATTCATCAAACAGCGGGCTGCCAAGTATGCCAACTCGAACCCACAACCTCTCCCTGGGCAACCTGGCATGCCCCAGGGACAGCCAGGGCTACAGCCGCCTACCATGCCGAGTCAACAGGGCGTCCACTCCAACCCAGCTTTGCAGAACATGAATCCCATGCAGGCAGGTGTCCAGAGGGCTGGCTTGCCCCCACAGCAGCCGCAGCCACAGCTGCAGCCACCCATGGGAGGCATGAGTCCCCAAGCGCAGCAAATGAACATGAATCACAACACCATGCCCCCGCAGTTCCGAGACATCTTGAGACGGCAACAAATGATGCAGCAACAGGGAGCAGGGCCAGGCATCGGCCCAGGAATGGCCAACCACAACCAGTTCCAGCAACCTCAAGGGGTTGGCTACCCGCCCCAGCAGCAGCAGCAGCAGCAACGAATGCAGCATCACATGCAACAGATGCAACAGGGGAATATGGGACAGATGGGACAGCTCCCTCAGGGCTTGGGAGCAGAGGCTGGTGCCAGTCTGCAGGCCTATCAGCAGCGGCTCCTTCAGCAACAGATGGGATCCCCTGCTCAGCCCAACCCAATGAGCCCTCAACAGCATATGCTCCCCAATCAGGCCCAGTCCCCACACCTTCAAGGCCAACAGATTCCTAATTCTCTCTCCAATCAAGTTCGATCCCCCCAACCTGTCCCTTCTCCTCGGCCTCAATCCCAGCCCCCCCACTCCAGCCCATCTCCAAGGATGCAGCCTCAGCCTTCTCCACACCATGTTTCCCCACAGACCAGCTCCCCACATCCAGGACTGGTAGCTGCCCAAGCCGCCAACCCCATGGAACAAGGGCATTTTACCAGTCCGGACCAGAATTCAATGCTTTCTCAGCTTGCTAGCAATCCAGGCATGGCAAACCTCCATGGTGCAAGCGCCACGGACCTGGGACTCAGCACCGATAACTCAGACTTGAATTCGAACCTCTCACAGAGTACACTAGACATACATTAGAGACACCTTGTATTTTGGGAGCAAAAAAATTATTTTCTCTTAAGACTTTTTGTACTGAAAACAATTTTTTTGAATCTTTCTTAGCCTAAAAGACAATTTTCCTTGGAACACATAAGAACTGTGCAGTAGTGTTTGTGGTTTGAAGCAAACATGCAAGATGAACCTGAGGGATACTAGAATACAAAGAATATATTTTTGTTATGGCTGGTTACCCCAGTCTTTTTCTTCCCTTGTGTGTGTGGTTCAAGTGTGCACTGGGAGGACGCTGAGGCCTGAAGCCACCACTGCTCCTGCCTTGCACCTCCAATAGGTTTTATTATTTTTTTTAAATTAATGAAAATATGTAATATTAATAGTTATTATTTACTGGTGCAGATGGTTGACATTTTTCCCTATTTTCCTCACTTTATGGAAGAGTTTAAAAAAAAAACATTTCTAAAACCAGAGGACAAAAGGGGTTAATGTTACTTTAAAATTACATTATATATATATATATATAAATAAATATATATAAATATATATTAAGATACCAATTTTTTCTCTGGGTGCAAAGACGTTCATTCTTTTAAAAATGTTTAAAAAAAAAATCTCCCTTTCCTCCCTCAAGTCAACTTTTGTGCTCCAGAAATTTTTCTATTCCGTCAGTCTGAGCGTAAAACTTCAAGTATTAAAATAATTTGTACATGTAGAAAGAAAAATGACTTTTTCAAAAGAATATACAGGGGCAGCTGCCAAATTGATGTATTATATATATTGTGGTTTTTGTTTCTTGAAAGAATTTTTTTTTTTTCGTTATTTTTACATCTAACAGGAAAAACAATTAAAAAGAGGGTAAGAAACGATTCCGGTGGGATGATTTTAACATGGAAAATGTCCCTGGGGTTTCTTCTTTGCTTGCTTTCTTCCTCTTTACCTTCCCCTCCCACACACACATACACACACACACACACACACACACATACATTCTGTAAAACTTGAAAATAGAAAGCAAAAACCCTCAACTGTTGTAAATCATGGAATTAAAAGTTGATTACTTATAAATATGAACTTTGGATCACTGTATAGACTGTTAAATTTGATTTCTTATTACCTATTGTTAAATAAACTGTGTGAGACAGACATCCTGACTTTGTGTTACTTCTTCAGGCCACACCAGTTTATTGCCTAATATGTACAAAGCCCTGAATTCAGTTCCCAGTACAAGGGAAAAAAACATGTTATTGCTCTGAAGAAAATGGACACTATCAACTTAGAATCTTTTTAACATCATATATAAGGAATTTCCAAATTTTGAGTTCAAAGTTCAAGCGAAAATGAAATTGACTTCCAAATACTATTGTGACACTCTCATCTCAAATTAACCACCAGAAAACTGGAAGTGGCGCTGTAATTCAAGTGGTAGAACACTAACCTTGAGCTGAATAGCTCAGGAACAGCGCCCAGACTGAGAGTTCAAGCCACCCAACTGATTCAGTGAGAGGGCCTTGTAAGCCCAGGACCTCAGGATTGTCACCAAAAAAAAAAAAAAAGATTCTTCCTAGATCTACTTTTGCAACAAACTCTTTTAAGTGTTTGTCTATCTCCCCTTCATCCTGTCTTTCTTGGTATTTTGGCTTGAAGGAAGTTTTTTGTTTGTTTTTTCTGTGCCTGGGAACATACCTAGGTCCAGATTCTTGACTTTTCCAGATCCAGTCTGGCAAATACATGACAAAAGAAAACTCAGGCACTCACCACCAAGTTATTCCTTGAGTTCCAATGACTCCTTCCAGGCTAGTTTCTTCTTTCCCTCTGTTCAGTATACATGTTGGTTTAACATAGAGTCTTCATAGATGCAGATTCCAAGGCTTGCAGGTGTACTTAGCAAGGTAAACAGGAAAAGTACTTTAGCTCTAGCTCCTCAAAAACAAATCTAGTAACTAATTTTTTGAAACAGTTCTTTAGAACAGCATTAAAAAGCAGTACAGGGCTGGGAATGTGGCTTACTGGTAGAGTGCCTAACATGCATGAAGCCCTGGGTTCCATTCCTCAGTACCAAAAGTACCGCTGTGGCTCAAGGTGAAGTGCTAAATCTTGAGCCAGAAAAGCTCAGGAACAGTGCTCAGGCCCTGAGTTCAAGCCCCAGGACTGGCAAAAAAAAAAAAAAGACTAGTGGCTCATGCCTGTTACATGAGTATGAGGGTCACAGTGTGAAGCCATCCTGGATAGGAAAGCCCATGAAACTTTTGTCTCCAATTAACCACCAAAACCCCAGAAGTGGAGCTGTGTGGCTCATGTGGAAGAGCCACCAGCCCTTAGCAACAAGGCCATGGGTTAAAGTCTCAGTATTAGCTGGCACATGCACAAAAAAAAGTATATTCGTTTTCCCAATAAATGTCCTTAAAAACTTGAAATACTTTGGAATAAATGTAACAAAATATGACAGCCATATATACTAAAAGCTATATAAAATGTGAGAGAAAGGAAAAAGGCCTATGTAAATGTAGGTGCCAATGGCTCGCACCTGTATCCTAGCTACTCAGGAGGCTGAAATCTGAGGATCACAATTCAAAGCCAGCCCAAGTCTGTGAGACTCTTCAATTAATCACAGAAAAAGCCAGAAGTGACACTAGCTCAAGTGGTAGAGTACTAGCCTTTAGCAAAAGTGCTCAGGACAGTACCCAAGCCCAAAGTTCAAGCCCAGCACTG